CAAGGTTAGAAACACATGCGCAATAACAGATGCTTTTAACCAGTTGAATAAAACGCTGCAAAAAAAGTTTTAAACTTGGCGCAATGCCTCGTGGATGATTTTTTTTAGAAATAAAAACGATCCAAGACGATATTATTAAATTCTGATGTTATCAACATTTTCAGTGTAAATGACGCCAAAAAATATTTTCTGATCAGAAATTCAACTTAAAGGGTAAACGAATCAATATTACGTCATCAGCTCGCCTATTTCATAAAGAGAGCGGATCTTAAAAAAAAATCAATCCTTGCTTGCTTTTTTGCGCCACTATCGTCAATTTTGTCTGTGTATTGTGTTGTGTCGTCTTGTTGATACGACAAAATGCCGGTTTAACTTATCTTCCTTTCATTTTAGGACCAAAGTCAGGCTCAAGGCTATTTAATACCTACCTTTTCAGCTGGGTTTTCAGTGTCAAATTCTTTGTAGTGTGTCAGACCACATTCCACTATTTTCAAACATGTGTTTTTGAGGTGTTTTGATTCTGCCTTTTCCCATATAGAATGTTGCCAATGTCATGAAACTTTATTTATTCATTGTATTATACTTAGTTATTACCTACCATTTGACTTACTAATTGTGGTTTTGCTATATAATTTAGAACCAGTATAGCGCCTTTTGGGGCGACTAACGGAGCGAGCGAGGGGGTGAGTCTTGCACGTGCGAAATTTCGAGGGGTACCTCCAACTGACTTGTGCACGGCACCCTACTGACCGGTTTCTAGCGATGTGCCAAATTTGAGCACAATCGGCCCAGCCGTTCTCGAGATCTGGGAGCGGCACCCTGCACGTGCGCACGTGCAAAATGGGTCCCAACTGACTTGTGCACGACACCCTACTAACTGGTCCCTAACCGTGTACCAAATTTGAGCGCCATCGGTCCAGCCGTTCTCGAGATCTGGAAACGACCCCTGCACGTGCGCACGTGCAGCAGCACCCCAACTCTGGCACATGGATATGCAGTGCCTAGTGGGTGCCTACCTACATGCCAACTTTCAGCGAAATCGGCCAAGTAGCTATCGAGATATTGCAACAATTACAAACTGACACCTCTTCGTTTTGCACGTGGCACTGGCACGTGCATAAGTGGTCACCCACATGCATCGGGAATAGTCCCAATACTTGTAAAGGAATGAAGCTACCTACAAAATTACCCGCGTGTAAATCGGTCAAGTGGTTGCTGAGATATAAGCCTCGCAAAAGCGTCCGCACGGCCGGCCCGCCGGCCGGCCGGCCGGCCGGCTGCTCATACTCAGAAATTTCCGTTAATCTAAGGAAAGACTTCGCTCGCTTCGCTCGCTCCGTAATAAGTACTCTTCCTTTTATATCGGGTGCCCAGAAAAAACGTTCCCAACTTTAAATCAATATTTCTCAGAAAGTGATAAAGATACAACATTGAAACTTTTAATAGTCAATGCGGCATACATTTTCAGTAAATGGTATGATTTTTATGTTATTCAGTCAATTACTTTTTAAATGGTTCGTGTTTCTAGCATGCCATGTAAAAATTACTTTTTTGCTCAGATTTTTACTAAAAATATGAGTGAGCGGGCCACTTCCATCTCGGCACCACGGCCTGCAGCCATGACTGCTACTGGCAACTAGTCTCGTTGATGGTTAAGGCCTCAGGATGACACATTCCCTCTAGCTTTTTTCCTTATTCGGTCGATAACTAGTTGATCTTCTTGAAGGGAGGGCGATCATCAGTAACCCATGCACCGTGCCACTCCTGCTCGAAATAGGACTTGTTAAAACAATGGCATCCATTAACACTATTTTGGCTCAGTATTTGAATATTTGGCACATAAGTGGGACAAAAATATTTAAAATAACAACACGCGTTCTGGTTTCATTCACGTGTTCTATCTTTTCATTCTTTTTTTCTAACATGGTACGTCTAAGCCAATCATTACTGCCGTTCAACATCGGCAAAAAAAGCAAAAACGTGTTACTTAATTCAACATAAGATTGCTGGCTTGAAAATGATGTTACAGTGTTATAATTTGGCATACCAATGCGCAAAGAAGTGACGCTACCTTGATGAAAATTTTGGCTCGTTATTTGCACTCGAATTTGAGATATAGGCCTCCAAAGTTCGGAACGTTTTTTTGGGCCACCCGGTAGACCACAGTAGATTCTTAACAATTCTAATGATAGCCAACCTTGTGAAATGCTGAGGTCCAGGTCAATGTGTTACCCCTATCCTTAGCAATGCAGCTTTTACCACAAAATGTATTTTGCAGTGGCTAAGATTGCTGTTATTACAATTTGATAGCTTCCTAGTGTCCAACGTTTGGATCTTATGGCGATATGCTGATAGTCTCACAACCGGTTTGTAATGAAACGGATTATTATGGATATTTTTTGGATGTATGGCTGAGATACGGGCCATGGGCGGGCCGGATTTTGAAATTCAAAGAAACACGGATAATGGGCGGATCTGGATATGACTTGCCGGATATGGGCCGGGCCGGATCCTGAAAAGCCTATCCGTGAAGTGCTCTAAAAGGCATGACAAAAATCGTCACGAGGTACCTAAAAAAAAAAAAACACCAAGGAGGGGTGTTCAAAGCTTCAAACACACCACGACCCGGCGCGGGTTGACGGCCGCGTCACTAAGAAGTACCTAAATTAGTCGTCGATTTTCAATCAATAGTTATCGCCATTCAAATTGTTCCACCTGAACAAGATAACAAACTGAACTCTCATATTCGGTACGCATCACTCAGAACGCGATGGCTCTTCAGTTGCTTTCTATCTTTGGTCGCCTTTTGACCCATCCGCAATACGCGGCGCGCGCGCTGTTGGCTCATCTCCAAATCCAAACGAGGCTCCGAGAGTGCGTGTGTTTGTGCGCCGGCCGCCATTTGCAATGCACCGGGTCCCGAAGGTGGCGCGGGCGGCGGACGCGGCGCGGGCCGTCGGGACCGAAGCTGTTAGTTGTCGACGACGGTCGGCCGACGACAAACACCTCAGGCGGTGGGACAAACAGCGGCGGGCGGCTGATGATGTCGGCGGGAGTCTGAGATATGGGGCGGATATCGCCGATAGGGTATAGGTGCAGGAGGTCATGTATGCACGTCATGCACGGACAGGACAACAAGGTCATGTCTGGACATAAATTCATAGCGAGGCGGGATAGTTGACAGGTGAGAAGGACAAAGCAAAGACACCTTGCCACCCTGTGCTTAGTAAGGTATGGAAAGGAATTCTTTTGCTGCTCAGAGTCCGGAAGGGAGGAGTGACTGTGCGTGCAAACATACACAACGGTGTAAGAGTAAATGAGTTTTCGACTGAGCCACGTAAGCCAAGTTACTAAATCATGCACGATAAGCGCGGAATGGGTGCGGTCCTCTTGCAACAAGAGCGGCGCACGGACTGAAATTATTTGTGTGTGATGTTGTGATGCCACTGCTTGATGCAATTCATATGCAACAAGTGCGCATTTGAATATTTGTCTTTCCTTAGTGTTTCGAAGCCTTGAATGGAAGCAGGGAATGTTCGTCGCTTGCAGCGAAAATGCCCTTCTGAAATGGAGAAAATAAGCTCATAAATAAACACGAGGAGAAGAACAAAGAGCCCCATTTGTCCAGGAATGGTTATCTTCCTCTTCGTTTTGACCATTTTATGCAGTCGCATGTACTTCACCATTCCTGCCTACAGAGGCGATGTGTTATAACTACTCTACGTGTAGGTGCTTACATTCAAAGTAATTCTACATATTTAGACTTTCATGCAGTTGCGCTGAAACGAAAAGCTAAACATGACTAAGCCCGTCGCGGAAGTGTAAACTTCCATTTTTTGCTAAGAATTAATAAATTGAACATTTTCAAAGCATTTAAGCAGAAGAAAAACAGGGAGTAAATTTTTCATTAATGTTGTTCTTTAAAAAACGACATTTTTTTCGTTAAAAACAAAAAAAAAACATTTGGTTTGAAATGGGGGGCACACGAACGATAGAACACCAACTTGGAAGCTCGCTAACCTTCCTACCTTACCTATATGTATTATGTAATTACATAATGCATCTTATTGCATCCAACGTTGGGTGAACTTAAGGCATTGCATTCAGCTTAGCAACCTAATTTTCTTACAGCCCCGTTCGGTGTGAACCGTACGTGGCCAGCTGGCTGCAAGCTTCGATTCGCAGCGTTGCAATGAAGGTCTGAGTAATAAATCAGACCCCCGAGCGTGGTCTATTATTTTCCACAAATCGCAGCCTTCCATCGATAACCGCACATCTGCATCCCCTAAAACGCCCAGATGAACCAATTAACCTGAGCATTATCGTAGATGAAGGGTCGTGAGGACCAGTGAAGATTGCTCAGATTGCTTCCACTAAGCCGGATTAACGGGAATACATCATATTACATAATGGACACTATGCTTATGTGTCAGAAACACATCGTGCCAAATCATGCATAATCGCGCTAGGATGCCCACCAAGCTTCACTTTTGCCTCGCCATTTATCATCTCAAAGTTTCCCTGAACGATTCCAACTTGATAACGGCATGCTCTGCTAAACATTTTATCTGCCTATAAATAACGGACTTGGACCGCACAATAGTTGAAGTCTTTCAGAGATCTGCCAATCCATTAGGCCATGTCAAGTGAGCGAGCACCCTTCACCCGTTCGGAAATAGCAGCCGTTTTCAGAGGGTTAGTTGACAGCCTCCCTCCTCACCCATCGACCCCGCCACCCCCTTCCCCCCCCCAGATTGGGTCAGCCTAGCAACAGCTTCTGAGGCGACTTTCATCTGGGTCCTTTTGTGTTCAATATAAACTACAACCTCCAAACGACTACGCTTCTATTCGACCTAGTGCACTGAACGTGCTCAAAACAACAGCTTTATTTCGTCTTTATGTTAGCACAGCCCAGATAAAACAATAACAAATGCGTTTGATGTGTACAGTCGACCCATCCAGCCGTGAACCATCCCACAAATGCCAGCCTTCCTTCCTACCTAGTGATGCGTCGTAGGCGTTCATGTAGTCGGACGTCATAAACTGGTGTATGAGCGATGTCTTTCCGACGCCGGAGGCGCCCAGCATCAGGCCGACGTAGGGCCGCGGCCGGCTGAGGTTGAGGCAGCTCGAGTTGGCTGAGCTGGCCATGGAGGTGCCGGCGCTGCAGGGCATCGACGGAGGTCCGCGCGAGCTGCCGCTGTCGACAGAGAGAGAGAGAGCGGGGTTCAGAGGGGGAGGGAGGGTCCGCGCGAGCTGCCGCTGTCGACAGAGAGAGAACTCGGGGAGTCAGAGGGAGGGAGGGACCGCGCGAGCTGCCGCTGTCGACAGAGAGAGAACTCGGGGAGTCAGAGGGGGATGGAGGGACCGCGCGAGCTGCCGCTGTCGACAGAGAGAGAACTCGGGGAGTCAGAGGGAGGGAGGGACCGCGCGAGCTGCCGCTGTCGACAGAGAGAGAACTCGGGGAGTCAGAGGGGGGGAGGGACCGCGCGAGCTGCCGCTGTCGACAGAGAGAGAACTCGGGGAGTCAGAGGGGGAGGGAGGGACCGCGCGAGCTGCCGCTGTCGACAGAGAGAGAACTCGGGGAGTCAGAGGGGAAGGGAGGGACCGCGCGAGCTGCCGCTGTCGACAGAGAGAGAACTCGGGGAGTCAGAGGGAGGGAGGGACCGCGCGAGCTGCCGCTGTCGACAGAGAGAGAGAGAACTCGGGGAGTCAGAGGGGGAGGGAGGGACCGCGCGAGCTGCCGCTGTCGACAGAGAGAGAGAACTCGGGGAGTCAGAGGGGGAGGGAGGGACCGCGCGAGCTGCCGCTGTCGACAGAGAGAGAACTCGGGGAGTCAGAGGGGGAGAGAGGGACCGCGCGAGCTGCCGCTGTCGACAGAGAGAGAACTCGGGGAGTCAGAGGGAGGGAGGGACCGCGCGAGCTGCCGCTGTCGACAGAGAGAGAACTCGGGGAGTCAGAGGGAGGGAGGGACCGCGCGAGCTGCCGCTGTCGACAGAGAGAGAACTCGGGGAGTCAGAGGGGGAGGGAGGGACCGCGCGAGCTGCCGCTGTCGACAGAGAGAGAACTCGGGGAGTCAGAGGGGAGGGAGGGACCGCGCGAGCTGCCGCTGTCGACAGAGAGAGAACTCGGGGAGTCAGAGGGAGGGAGGGACCGCGCGAGCTGCCGCTGTCGACAGAGAGAGAACTCGGGGAGTCAGAGGGGGAGGGAGGGACCGCGCGAGCTGCCGCTGTCGACAGAGAGAGAACTCGGGGAGTCAGAGGGAGGGAGGGACCGCGCGAGCTGCCGCTGTCGACAGAGAGAGAACTCGGGGAGTCAGAGGGAGGGAGGGACCGCGCGAGCTGCCGCTGTCGACAGAGAGAGAACTCGGGGAGTCAGAGGGGGAGGGAGGGACCGCGCGAGCTGCCGCTGTCGACAGAGAGAGAAACTCGGGGAGTCAGAGGGAGGGAGGGGACCGCGCGAGCTGCCGCTGTCGACAGAGAGAGAACTCGGGGAGTCAGAGGGAGGGAGGGACCGCGCGAGCTGCCGCTGTCGACAGAGAGAGAACTCGGGGAGTCAGAGGGGGAGGGAGGGACCGCGCGAGCTGCCGCTGTCGACAGAGAGAGAACTCGGGGAGTCAGTCAGAGGGGTGAGACAGGTACTAAACAGGTAAGGACCGTGTGAACTGCCGAGAGAGAGAGAGAGAGAGAGAGAGAGAGAGAGAGAGAGAGAGAGAGAGAGAGAGAGAGGAGAGAGAGAGAGAGAGAGAGAGAGAGAGAGAGAGAGAGAGAGAGAGAAAGAAAGAAAGAGAGAGGGAGAGAGAGAGAGAGAGAGAGAGAGAGAGAGAGAGAGAGAGAGAGAGAGAGAGAGAGAGAGAGAGAGAGAGAGAGAGAGAGAGAGAGAGAGAGAGAGAGAGAGAGAGAGAGAGGAGAGAGAGAAGAGAGAGAGAGAACGGGAAGTCAGGGGAGACCAGCAGTCAGTGACGGAGGGGAACAAACAAAGTCAACTATGTAGAAGTCATGAGCCAGTGATCAAGGACATGGACCTGCCAGCGGAAAAGTGGATCCAACTGTGCCAGGACACCACCGCGGGGCTTGCGAGAGGACGCAAACATGTAGGAAATGGAACAGGATACCCTGTATAGTCAGCCGCCAGCTTTATTATCCAATTACCTTATAGGTCAATGTCCGTATGCAGTGAGGTGAGGGGACACATCCACATTAGCGCCACGGGTGAAACCGCTACGGACGTTTACCGTTTACCGTTTATTGCAGCTTATGACACGCTCCCAAGGCTATTGACATATGCATGACTTATCGCTAGCCGCATACTTTATCAGCCATTGACATAATACCGATATGCACGCTTATTATTCCGCTTACATACATGATGTGCTGTAAATTTACGTCGCTGTTGTGGCGTGGCATTGAAATATGGTGGCTGTCTGGTCCGGGGCCATATACCATCCGATAAGGACTCTACGAATAAACGGTGGAATAAAGCATCGAGCATTTACCGCGTCCACATTGTCCGACACCACGACTCCAGTTCATTTGGGGCTTTTTACAAAGTAACGATTGGGTACAATACCATGGTAGCTGTCCCCGTCAGAAACAAGACGACACCCGAATCGGCTCACGCCACGTTCGGTCGATATACTTCCTTCACACTGAGCTATCAGGTTGGACATTAGGCAAACATTTTGCACGTAACAGCTTGCAGGAAGGAATGGAAACATTTGAAATAGGTGTCTTACACGACCGAAAAGCATAAAGCGAGCATTGCAAAGCGAAACTTTTCATATTTATTTGGCTGCATTCCAGGTGATATAGTCTGTGTGCATACATGCAGCACCACTTCGTTCCTCGAACGTGACTTTTGGCAAAACAGGGTCATCATTGAGTAGTGCAGGACGCGGCTAAAGCAGGTCCTCTATTCAGTCGGGAAGGAGCGGTGAGAGGACTAAAGCTACTCACCGGGGAAAATAGCATTCTGCCTTTTCAAAAGGCGAACTATGCCTCTACAGGCCCTGGGCCTGGTCTCAAGTATGGAAGCTAGCTTTGCCAATTTGCTTTGACTATGTATTTCCGGTAAATATAGGAAACGAAAAGTGATTATAGAAAGCTAATTAGAAAATAATGCATCAAAACGCATTCTCACGAAATCGTAACGGTATCAATCCACCCATAAACATCATTTGCGCTTTTCCATTGTGTCAGAGGTTTAGCAGCTGAATAGAGAACCAAACCATGCCTCTATCGTGCACTTCATTGAGCTGTCAACCTTATACAATATACAGCTTCTTTCGAAACAGGATTCGAATCCGAATCACCGGTAAGGGCTTACGGGTGTTTCCATGGGCAGCCTAAACTCTTACGAGGCACTGATCCGGATCATTGACGCCCATGGAAACGGGGTCATAGAGAAGTAAGAACACAAAGAAACTATCCAGTGTTATAAGTTAAAAGTCAGATCGCATGCATAAGTTGGATGCACCACGCAGTGCACTAAGAATTTCTGGAGCAAAAATAACAGGCAGAAGGGCATTCCCTACTCGACAAATCACATCACGCTGGCATGGTGGGCGCTCTGCTGTCCCCCACCGCGTCGGGCGCCGACGGGGAACGGCTCGGCGCCGTGGTGCAGCCCCCTCCCCGGGTAAATATTGTCCGAGCGGGCCGCGGCCAGCGGGTCCCCACCCGCAGTCTGTGTGGACGGAATATACCTACCCCGCCCGGCAGACCGGCCGCGGCAATCAATGCAGATTATCGAGGGCTGAGACGACCCACGAATTGAGCACGCCGCTCTGAGCACACCGCTCTGAGCACGGCTCCATGAGCACGCGGTCATACGAGCACGGTCATACGAGCACGGTCATACGAGCACGGCACTCTGAGCGCTGAACAGAGCGAGTAGTGATCTAAGCATTACGTTCTGAGCGCAGCGCCTTTAGTATGGCAGGCGCTCTCAGCTACGAGCCATGCGATTGCCGAGGGAGAGTGAAGATCGAAGGTAATGGATCACCGTAAGAACACGGCAGGTGAAAGCCGAAACTAAACGGGAGAATGACACTATGAAATATTGTCTTCCCTTGGCTATGTGAGTGTCAACTGTCAAGCATTGATTCATGCGCAGGTGTCCCACCCCCCCCAAAAAAAATACATGTCCGATGACTTATCTGCCCCCCCCCCCCCGCTGCGCCGTTGTATACATAAAAGACTGTTCGGGACGAGGGCAGGTTTTTCCGTGTTCATTTGTCGGCAGTACTCAGCTGGAGCGGGTGGGCCGTGGGGTCGGTGGGGCCGGGTCGGGTCGGGAGGCTGGGAGGGGTGGCGAACGTTTATCAATCGATCGCTCTCCCCCACCACGGCGGGAGCGGCCCGGCTGGGGTGACCGAGAGCCACCCGAGCCGCTGAGCCGCCGAGACGCTGAGCCGCTGAGCCGCTGAGCCGCTGAGCTGATAGCCGCTGAGCTGGTGAGCTGATGAGCTGGTGAGAGACTGGTCCAGACCAGTACACACCGGGACAGATAAAGCTCCACCACCATTCACTCAGCCCCCCCCCCCCCCCCGAGTAAATATACCGTGCTAGCAATACCGTGGTCTGTTGGGAAACCACTGTATTTGGTGATGGACTGTGATATTCAGCTCTGTAAATGTTAACAATACCAACGCAATATGATAGATTGCGTGACTGCGAAATCCAACCGCATAATTGGATATCACTATCATAATGAATGTCTTCTATTGCAAAGTTATCATCCTCAATCTACATGCAAGTTTGGCGAACTCTTTGAGCTCCTGCCGTACTCAAAGTTTCTCAAATGTAAAAGCGCTGCTTGAAATTTTGTCAATAAAACACCACCTTCTTTGGCTACATATCGGGTGCAGATTGACCGGTTCACCTTATGTCAAACCACCAGTAACCCTCTACGGTACTTTCCAAAGTTTTGTCCAATGTCCATGGCCGACCGCAGTCCCCATGCGTTCAGTGCTTCCTCGTAACACTAGGACGGCTCGCAGACAGCACCAGCCCCAAAGTGGCCCATGAATGCCATGGATTGTAGTGCTGACAGCACCCCAGGGAAATCTAAATTACTGTCCTGCATGTCCTACCTTGCGACGCGACAGGTAAACACTCGACACAGCAACTGCATCAGCCCACAAACAAGCTCCCGTGCCGTGTGGGCGGCTTATCGGACGGACTGGACCACGGTGGAGGC